GTCTTGAGAGACACATCTAGACTCTGAGAGACACGTTTAGAGTCTGGAAGACACATCCAGAATCTGAGAGACAAGTCCAGAGTCTGGGAGGCACGTCTAGAGTCTGAGAGACACGTCCAGAGTCTGGGAGACACGTCCAGTCTGAAAGACACGTCCAGAGTCTTGAGAGACACATCTAGACTCTGAGAGACACGTTTAGAGTCTGGGAGGCACGTCCAGAGTCTGGGAGGCACGTCAAGAGTCTGAGAGACACGTCCAGAGTCTGAGAGACACGTCCAGAGTCTGGGAGACACGTCCAGAGTCTGAGAGACACGTCCAGAGTCTGAGAGACACGTCCAGTCTGGAAGACACGTCCAGAGTCTCAGAGACATGTCCAGAGTCTGAGATGACCTTCAGTCAGAGGACATCTGAAATGAGTTTTCCACAGATCTTTAGAAATCAGCTGATCAGAACAGATTTGATTGATGAACCTTCAGAGAAACTTCTACACTGAAACATAAAAAGACGTCCACTGATGTCCACTGTCTGGGACGGGTCTGAACAGTGAGAGTTCTGGACAGGAACAGAACACAGACTGAAGTAAACCTAAATGTTTTTGCTTCAAGATGTTCAGGAGAGGTTTTGATTTCTTTATTTTAATTACCACCAGGTCCAGGTCCAGGTCCAGGTCCAAGTCTGCTGTCAAGTCACGGTCCAAGTCCAAGTCTGGTTTCAAGTCTCAGTCCAGGTCCAAGTCTGCTGTCAAGTCCTGGTCCAGGTCCAAGTCTGCTGTCAAGTCCTGGTCCAAGTCCAAGTCTGGTTTCAAGTCCTGGTCCAGGTCCAAGTCTGCTGTCAAGTACTAGTCCAAGTCTGCTGTCAAGTCCTGGTTCAGGTCCAAGTCTGCTGTCAAGTCCTGGTCCAAGTCCAAGTCTGCTGTCAAGTCCTGGTCCAAGTCCAAGTCTGGTTTCAAGTCCTGGTCCTGGTCCAAGTCTGGTTTCAAGTCTCGGTCCTGGTCTGCTGTCAAGTCCTTGTCCAGATCCAGATCCAAGTCTGGTTTCAAGTCCTGGTCCAGGTCTGGTTTCCAGTCTCGGTCATGGTCCTGGTCTGCTGTCAAGTCCTTGTCCAGATCCAGATCCAAGTCTGGTTTCAAGTCCTGGTCCAGGTTCAAGTCTGCTGTCAAGTCCTGGTCCAAGTCCAAGTCTGGTTTCAAGTCTCGGTCCAGGTCCACGTCTGCTGTCGAGTCCTGGTCCAGATCCAGATCCAAGTCTGGTTTCAAGTCCTGGTCCAAGTCCAAGTCTGATTTCAAGTCCCGGTCCCAGTCTGCTGTCGAGTCCTGGTCCAGATACAAGTCTGGTTTTGAATCCAGGTCCAAGGATTGAGGTGGATCAGGATTTGTTTAGATTTAATCTCGGCTCGTCTGAAGACCTGGACAGGAGAGGAGAACCGGTTTGATCTCTGAGGTCCTGATCCTGCTGACCTTACGGAGCTCTGCTCTGTCAGCAGCGTGACAACACGAGCAGCACGGAGCTGCAGGACCAGGTCCAGTGGAACACCCCAGAAGCAGCAGGGGCTGATTGATCTGGGTCATTAATTAGAAAGTCGGTTATCTGAAGTGGACTTCAGCCGCCTCCGTTCGTCAGGGCTGAGGAGCCCCGCCCCTCGTTCAGGTCCGTCCAGCACAAACACGACGAGGCGCCGGCGGCGAGCTCCGAGCAGCGGCGCCGGATCCTAACGAGCTTCTTGATCGACACCGCACCGCTTCTTTTAATTATTCCTCAGCCTAAAACGAGCCTTTGACCCCCCCTCTGGAGAGACTCGTTTCCAGGGTTAGCGAGCACGACAGAAAAGTCATCACGGCCAAAATGGCTGCGAGCGTCGACCCCCCACAACAGGGTGGTGATATTTTTCCATTTGGGAGGGGGCGGGCTGCGGCGGCCTCGTTAAAGCCCCGAGAGCAGCTCTTTAATATTCACCGTCTTAATTAGAGCCGCAGCTCATTTCATTAAAACCTTCGGCTGCTAAATGAAGCACATTATGAGACATGTTTTACTGCCGAGCGTGAAATTACAGCCGAACCCCCGCCACCACCGGCCCGGCCCGGCTTGGCCCGGCCCGCCCGGCCTGCTGCCACCAGCACGCCCAGCCAAAACCACTGCCACCGGCTTCTTAATGAATGACGGGGTAAGTAAAACCAGAACCAAGAATCCACTTCACTAATGACCCGTCAGAACCACAGGGTCCAAACCACCAGTCCACACAGAGGAGACCCGTCAGAACCACTGGGTCCAAACCACCAGTCCACACAGAGGAGACCTGTCAGAACCACTGGGTCCAAACCACCAGTCCACACAGAGGAGACCTGTCAGAACCACAGGGTCCAAACCACCAGTCCACACAGAGGAGACCCCTCAGAACCACTGGGTCCAAACCACAAGTCCACACAGAGGAGACCCGTCAGAACCACTGGGTCACAAAGTGGCGACAAACTCCCAGAACATTTTCTAAAGAAGTTCAGAAACTTTGTGTTGGAAACAATGAGAGCTAGTGAGTTACAGTACTAATATATGAATACCAATAATAATAAAAACATTAACAACTGAGTTATTATTGTGAATAATAATAAAAATAATGTTATTAAATAAACAAAACTGTGTTCACAGGGTCCCAGTTACATCCAACAAAAGTATAAAATGTAAAAGAAAAACAAGAATAAGATCCAAGATATGAACTAAGAAATACACGAAGCACTGGTAGAACAAAAACAATACGTTGAACAGCAGCACGAAACAGATCAGCAGCAACATGAAACAGATCAGCAGCAACATGAAACAGATCAGCAGCAACATGATGTGGTTTTTTACAGTGATTATTCTAGTTAGAGATTCATGAGTCTAACAGCTTCAGGGTAGAAGCTGTTCCTCAGTCTAGTGGTTCTACACTTAATGCTCCTCAACCTCCTTCCTGAGGGGAGTGGGGCAAAAAGTGTGTGTGCTGGGTGGGTGGGGTCCTTCATGATGCAGGTGGCCCTCTTCCTGCATCTGGAGGTGTAGATGTCTGTGATGGTGGGGAGGCTGACTCCAACATCTTCTGTGCAGCCTTCACCACTCTCTGCAAAGCTTTTCTTTCTGCAGCTGTGCAGCCTCCATGCCACACGTTGATGCTGGAGCACAGGATGCTCTCCACTGCACACCTGTAGAAGGAGGTGAGGACTGAGCTTCCAGACCAGCTCGCCTCAGCCGTCTGAGGAAGTAGAGTCTCTGATGAGCTTTCTTCATCAGGCTGGTGGTGTTGTTGCTCCAGCTGAGGTTGTTGTTCAGGTGCACACCCAAGTACTTGTAGCTGGAGACCACTTCCACCGCAGATCCTCTTATGTTCAGGGGGGTGTAGGTGTTTTTGTTCCTTCTGAAATCCACAATCATACGTGAGCAGAGTAAACAGGAGGGGGCTCAACACACATCCCTGAGGAGAGCCAGTGCTGAGGGTTATGGTGGAGGAGGAGAGGTTGTGGATCCTCACTAACTGTGGTCTGTTTGTTAAGAAGTCAAGTACCCAGTTGCAGATGGAGGGGCTTAGTCCTAGTGTGGATAGTTTGTCCATCAGGGTTTGGGGGATCATGGTGTTGAAGGCGGATGTGAAGTCCACAAAGAGCATACGGACGTAAGAGTTTTTCTGGTCCAGGTGGGTGAGAGCAGTGTGGACCACAGAGGAGATGGTGTCCTCTGTTGATCGGTTCTCATGGTATGCGTACTGATGAGGGTCCTCGTTGATGTTGATGGTTGTTCTGATGCAACATGTATGTAACATGTATGTAACATGTATGTTTCTGTCAGACGTTTGACAGAAAAACAAATGAAAGATGAGAAAACGTTACATTTCTTCACTCTGAACCAAACTGGACCTTTTAGGAGGAGTCCAGCCTTTAAGAACCACATCAATGTTCCAGTAGGAAGAAGACCTGCCGTGGTTCTGGTTCCAGAGCAAGTTCTGAGCTGCTCAGAACCATTTCACGACCCGTTTGTGTCCCGGCACTAGGTTTCCAGGTCCAGGATCAGGGTTCCAAACGGTTCAGAAGTCCTGTTGGTTCTGAGACCCAGGCACCAGTTTGATGTTTTGGTCTCCAGACAGAACCCAGTGAAGGTTGTACATCAGAAGAAAAGCCCGTTTGTGGAGCGCTCGGCTCCAGCGGCTTCTGGGAAATTAATTTGTCAGATTGTTGCTTCTCAAAGCTCCCCGGTCAGCCTCTCTCCGGTAATTACCGGTTAATTAGCGGCACGGAGCAGATGTCGGAGAACCCCCCGCCATGTAAACAAAGCTGGACCCAGACTCTCGAGAGTCGGTGCCGGCAGACGAGTCTCTGAGGTTCTGACTGTCCTCCAGGAGGTGGAGACTCTGAGGCTCCAGTCAGGGTCAGCTTGGACCCGGCCCTGGTCAAAACAAGGACCACTGGGACTCAGGACTCTGGTCTCCATCAGGTTTAATAGTCCAACAACACGGGAGCAAAATGCAGCTGGTTCTGATGTTATCAACGCCAAGACGGAAAGACATCAGCAATGAGTTCAGATCTGCCGAACGGTCAAAGGTCATCTGGAGTCCATGGCTCTACAGAGACAACGATTAAAGACACGTGGAGAACATCTGCCCAGGAGCGGACATCACCCTGAAGGTCAGACCGTGCAGTGCTCAGAATCTCCAGGGTTCGTTCAAAGGTCAAAGGTCATGGAATGACTGCAACGGTAACCAAGATCATAAATGGAAAAGGAATGGGAAAAGGGGCCACGATAAGGTTCTACAGAACTGGACCCAGAGATCCTGGTTCTGGAGGAGGTTCTGTTGGATCAGGAACAAACGTTTGTTCCATTTTACCTCAGGTAACAAAAGAGGCCTGTTCTATATCCTGTTCATCTCCCTGTTTGCGTTCTGGAAAGGGTCTGACCGGGTCAGAACTTCGGCCCGGTCTCACCACAGCAGCCATGTTCAGCTCTGAGTGTCTGAGTTCTGGAACGGGTCTGACCAGGTCAGAACTTCGGCCCGGTCTCACCACAGCAGCCATGTTCAGCTCTGAGTGTCTGAGTTCTGGAACGGGTCTGACCGGGTCAGAACGTCTGAGTGTGTGAGTGGTTTTAATGAGCGCCGCTCTCCTAACGAAGGCGTTCCCTCGTTAACGAGCGGCCAAGTGCAGCTCCGACACCTGCAGACGAGCAGAGCGGCGCTGAGAGCGGCTCTAATGAGATCAGAACCGGCACCAAGTGGGTCAGAACTCCAGCCGCTGAAGAAGAGGAGGAAGATTTGATTGGCACATTAAAACCAATTAATTCATCGTTTCAGCACCGCAGGACGTCACTGAAGCACTTTCTGTCCAACAACTGGGCTCAGATCAGTTCTGGTCCGGTGCGAGCTGCAGCTGCTCAGGGGTCTGTTGTTCTGAAACAACGTGAGGCCACAGAGCTCACCGCTGCGCCACCATGTCGCCCTCAAAGACAACCAGAGAAAACACAAAGTGCAGCTTTGAAATGATTTACTGAAGGAACGCCTGAACGAATCCAGATGTTTTCATGCCGCCTCGCTACCATGCCACCACACGCCATGCCGCCACACCGCCATGCCGCCTCGCCACCATGTCGCCTCGCCACCATGCCGCCTCGCCACCATGCTTGAGTTAGAAAAACGACCCATTGCGTTTCCCGTTTCCTGCGCTGGACGCCGTTCTTTCAGGTCCACAGCGAACCCTCAGGAACTTCTTTTCTCCACCGGTCCACGGAAACGTCGTCTTCACTGAAACTGGTCGGAGGTGCAGAACGGTTACGCCCAACTGGAACAACTGGTTACGACCACGGAGGCCACTTCTGTCGATCTTCTGGTCGAGTCATGACCTCTGACCTTCCCTGAGGCCTTCAGAGGTTCTGGTGGGGGTGATGTTGGACCTGATGTGGAGGGAAGCTGAAGCGAACTTTCTAAAAATAAGTGATTAAACGAGTTCATGACCGATTTAACGAGGGTCAGGTTGGTTTGGAGCTTCCTCCCTACAAAATGAAAAACTGCTGGTTATTTTTGTCGATTATTGAAACAGTATTTATTCTTTAAAATTCTTTCTCACAGCACTGCAGATGCTGCGTTTAAGGTCTGGTAAAAACGTGGTTCATTGGGATATTTCCTGTGGATTAACGTCACATTTGTTTTCAAACAAACTAAAACGCTGTTCGTACCATCACGAGTATTTTAAACAGAATAAACCCTGCCGGTCAGGATGGATTTATGGGAAGTGATTAAGGAGACGACCCGTCTCAGAGGCTCCGCCCACTCTCTAATCAAACAGCAGCACAGAAGAGGAGCAGCAGGAGGAGGAGGGAGTGTTTGAAGCTGCTGAAGGATCTGGTTATTACCGCTCTCTGTCTCAAACGGTCGGCTCTTCTCCTAAACGACGGCAGCGCTCGACCCCCCCGCTCAGATCTGAGCCGAGGCCGCGGCGCCGACACCAGAGGCCACAGTAGCGGCGCCGTAATTGGCTGATTTGCTCGTCCGGCTCGTGTGTGAGGTGACGCCACGCAGACGTCCTTTTGTTCTGCTAACACTGTGCATGAAGCAGCTCGAGAAGAGGCGGCTTTGAAGGAACAAAGAAGGACTTGAAGAGAAGCAGGAGGACAAATGTCCTCGCTCTGCTGCTCCTAATGATGGGCTGCAGGACCGGGACAGACCCGGCTCTCGTGTCAAGTGTGTGTTCAAGGCCGGAGCATCAAAGCCTCTCACCTGTTTGATGGGGATGGCTCGCCCGCTGCCGATGCTGTCGGCTCGAGACTCCACACCTTTCTTATCCTTGTCCGCATCGCTGGCCTTCCTCGACTGTGGACGAGTCCAACAAGACCGCAGGACAGTTATGCTGTCTTCAAGATATGGACACCGTCAAATAAACTGTCTCACGTGGTCTCAAACTGTGTCACACTGTCTCAAACTGTCTCACTCTGTGTCAAACTGTCTCACACTGTGTCACACTGTGTCACCGTTTCACACTGTCTCACACTGTGTCACACTGTGTCAAACTGTCTCAAACTGTGTCACCGTTTCACACTGTGTCACACTGTGTCACACTGTGTCACAGTTTCACACTGTCTCACACTGTGTCAAACTGTGTCACACTGTCTCACACTGTGTCACACTGTGTCAAACTGACTCACACTGTTTCACACTGTCAAACTGTCTCACACTATCAAACTGTGTCACACTGTGTCAAACTGTCTCACACTGTCAAACTGTGTCACACTGTGTCACACTGTGTCACACTGTGTCACACTGTCTCACACTGTCTCACACTGTGTCAAACTGACTCACACTGTGTCACACTGTCTCATACTGTCTCACACTGTGTTACACTGTCTTACACTGTCTCACACTGTGTTACACTGTCTCACACTGTCTCACACTGTGTCACACTGTCTATTCTATCAGTTGACCCGTCTATCGTCCCAGTTGACCTGTCTGTTGTTAGTGAAGACAACTGATGTGTTTTGGTGAACTCACGGTGAAGAGGTTGGAGCGGCGTTTGGACTGCTTCCTGACTGGTGTGGGGGTGTTGGTGGTCTGTGGGATGTCAATGCGGAGCTCCTTCTGGCTGGTGCTGGGGGTGGACGGCACAGACGATGAGTAGTCGCTCAAGCTGCCGCCACCGTTACTCGCCTGCATTACAGGAACAAAGTGAAGTGACACAAGAGGAAGTCGTCAAGCTCGTGTTTCTTTTAAATCTTTCCCAGGCAACTATTAAAAACGGGGGTGTTAAGATATTCATGATCTCTTTGGTTCTGAGAAGCCAACAGACGGCAGGAGGATAAAGATGGAACAGTAACGACTTCACACAGCCAGGAGACCTGTTGAGCCAGACCCTCTTAGGAGACTACAGGAAAGTGTGGAGAACCTACAGGATGGTGGACCAAGTTTCTTCTTGTAGAATTTCAGGGTGAAGAAGGAGTTTCTGGTTAGTTTCAGTAAACCCGTGTGACCTCTGACCTGGCTGACGTGGACTGCAGAGACCTGGGTGGTGCAGACAGACGAGTGACTCGGGGAATTGGGTAAAGACTTGCAGGGTCCGATGGACAGCTGCTGCTTCTTCCTGATGGCCACAATCTTCTGGGCGACTGCAGAGCAAACAAATCAAAAAGAGGTTTCAGATGAGAACAAGCCGACCTGTGACTGCTGTCATCAGTTTTCACAAAGTCCACCTGTCCCTCCTCCAGGTGAAAGCAGCCTCCATGTCCAGATGCCACCATGTCCCGTTTTATGGAGCAGGTTATATTTTCAGCTTAGTGATTTATTGACTGAAGATAAAACACGCTGCGGGATCGGCTTTATGGGCTGCACAGACTTTATCAATCTAACATTCGGTGAAAAGTCGCATCTTTTTGGGTCATTCAGGCACTAAATCAAATCCTGGAAAAATAAATTAAGATGTGAAAAATCAAGTTTGTGCGCTTCAATAACTTGGAGCGTGTGACGGCCGACCCAACAAAGACATCCTGAAACTTGTGACAGAATGGGTTTTTCCTCACGATGTTTGAATTCTCTACATGTACGTGTCGGACACACGGAGCTGTGTGCCAGTGACCAACCAGTCCACAACCTTCCTCTGCTGTGCTTAATTGACATTTAAATGAGCGTCAGCAGCTTCTGTCAGTAATGACACTAAAGTGTGGTTGAACCAAAGCTTTGTGGAAACTCTCCTGATGTGTGTGATGTTCGAGGAGCGGAGTCAAGCGAGAGTCAGGACTTTACACAGACTATTATCTCTTTTCCAATAAACACTGGCCTGTTTCATGCTCTCACAGATGAAGCCATTCTTTTAATTGGGCTCGTTAAAGCCCCCAGCTTCTTAATGAGGAGCCGGTCATAAACATTTACCGCCAGGTGACACTGGGCCGAGCCAAGGGCAGCGAGAAGAGAGAAGAAACTTTAAAGAACCCTCTGCGGCATTCTAAGCTTGTTGGAAACAAAAACAGACCATGAAGGAAGGAAGTGAAGAAAAACACGGCAGCTGTCCGCCTGAAAGCTTCCTGCTAACGATCAGACGGAGACGAGCTTCTGACACCGAGTGGAGACGGTGTCCGGTTGGTCAGAACCAGTTCAGACGGTGTCAAGTTGGTCAGAACCAGTTCAGACGGTGTCCGGTTGGTCAGAACCAGTT